GTTCGTATCTGAAAAAAATCGTAGAATACGAAAACATTGTTGAATGCCACAAATTCTCCTAAATCACTCGTACGCACAATTTAAGAACAAATCTGTGCGTACGAACGGTTCTCGCATGAGGCCCAATGAGTGTGTTCTTACTGAAGTGGAAGCACGCGGTTCTGACTTCCTCACTAAAAGTGCAGCCTAAACATTACTAGGTCCAAAAAAAGCAACAGTGGTAGGAATTTTACGTTAAATATTATTTGATGGCCACATAAATCAGAAACTGAAAGGCAGAAGAAACTACCCTGTCAGCACCACCACTGATTCTGCTTCCACTGAAGGAAAGAACTTCATCATGACGAAGAAATACAAAATGTGTACTTTCTGACAAACTACAAAAGACAGAGTCAGGTATCATCTGTCATATTTGGATGACATTTAAAAAAACTGAAAGTGTGTGTATGTGTGGCCCGAGTGGACGTACGTCTTGTAGTGGTGTGTGTAAATACAGTGAGCCATGGCATGCTGCAGAGAGAAGACATGGACTGGCTGTCGCTGCAAAATATCTGTCGTAGCTTTGAAGAACTGTTCGAAGCCCCAACACCTCTCCTGGTCRGCCTCCATTATGCCCGCGAGTACCGGAACCAGCAGCACTTTCAGACCCCTGCAATCCGAGAGGGACAGAGACAAACAGAAAAGACAAGTAATGGTGTAAAAAAGGGTCAATTTATTACTCAGAGGCAAGTTTAAATGCATATAAATTTTTTTTTTTTGCTGATTTACTGTGAGAGTTGGCAGCTGTGAGGCAGGTGGTAACTCCACTCTATCTGCCCACCCTCCACTCGCTGTATGCCTGCTATTGCCCCCATCGGTTTCTCTGTAGTGATCTTGAACCTTTACAGCAAAAAAAAAAAAAAAAAAGGAGGCAGGATTGTTCACGTTGTATCCAGACTGTCATCAGACGCTTGTGTAATTGTTTAGCTTACATGGTGGGCTTGTTCTTGCGAGGTCCTTCAAASGGTGTGAAGGGAAGAGTCCCCACGGCGGAATGGTACAATGTCACACCGATGCTCCACAGGTCAACGCTGACGCCGTAAGATTTATGTTGAGGCTTCCGCAGCACGGCCCGTTCGTACATGTCTGGGTGCTACACACAAGAACACAAGTAAGAAGAGACAACACACGATATACTGCACACTTCACAGGTGGACTTATTGGGGCCAAACCTTTAAAAAAACATCTATAAAATAACAGACTTGTGGAAGATTTTGTTAAAGTTTACTGGGATGGGAAACACCAAACTGAAATGTGGAATAAGTTGCAAAGCTAGAACTCAGGAATACGATGTAATAATTACTCTGATTAAGATTAGCTTTTAGAGGAAACATCAAATACTCAACACTTTAAAGACTGTGAGAGCTTTAACTACTTATGTGTATCAATAATCTACAAGACTGAATTGTTTTTGAGGTCACCTTTGGACTTTTCTGGACTTCAGACAGCAGGACGTGCCCATAAAGCGTGACCCATCACAACAAGGTAAGGATTACCAGGCAAGTCAAATTAGGTCTAAATGAACATTTTCAGACTTTTGCCTTTTAAGCTACATTTTGATACAGAACGCTATTTTAGGTGATTCTAATTAGGATCTGCTTGTGTCATTTTAAAGAGGAAACCTCAAACATTATTTGGATATTAAGACTTCAAACTGTAAAGGAAAAAAAAACTTTGCTAGCTTGCAGGGAAAATGACAAAAACTAAAAGCTTATCTGAAAATCATACTTTCACTGCTCGAAAAAGGGCTTCAAAAAAACTCTTTAAGATTATATTTCAGATATTTCATTTAAACAACCTGTAAATAAGGCATTAGATTTTGACAAAATGCAATTGTTGCACTATAGCTGCCTATTTCTTCACATACCACTTTGTGACTTAACCCTTGGTTGTATGAGATGGGTCACAAATGTTAGGAATTCAAATAAAATGCAAAAAGTTCAGGCGCATTACACTTCTGGATCTGCTATTAGACAATTTCACATTTAGATAAATAAATGCAATCCATCCTTCCTTTATCTATACCCGCTTCTTCCTTTAAGGGTCATGGGGTATCASTGGTTCCCTATATCCAGCAGTCACTGTTTGAGGGGCGGGGTTACTACATTATAGCTATTTTTCTGTAATGTGTAAAAACATATAGGAGATCAATAAAATAGATAAAATATTGTTCACAAATGTATCTAAAAAGTAAGAACATTTGTCATCTGGGTGATTTGTTGGCTTAATTTTAGTCTGTATATCACTGGGATGCAACAGTTAGTAATTAATTGAAGACACAAAAGTGCAAAAAATGCATATCTTTGACTTGAAAAAACAAATAAACTGTAGGTAAAAGACATTTGTGTCCCGCAATGTCCCTTTTTACGGTTTGCGGACTCAGTCTTTTTGTGTATTTTTTCATAGAACCTAACTAAAAACAATATAAGAACAATGTAATTGATTTTGCGACACAAACATTTATGTAAATTCTATTTATGACATGACAAATTACGATGCCACCCAAACACGCTGCACCACAGTCATTTTATTTTTTTTTTCATGATAACCTCTGTGAAAACTGGGGCTTTACTGAATGTCCAGAATAATAAATACTGTATTTATTCATGTATAATAATAGAAATTTAACCCTAAAAATCATCCACAAAGTAGGGGGGTAGTATTATACACGGGTTATTGGTGTTTAGAATTTTTATGCTTTTTAAGCACAAAAATGATGATCATATTATACTTGTATTATACATGAATAAATACGGTTATTGCCAAATTTTGACTGAGACTAAATTTGTCTTGCAAACTTTTTGAACACTCAAACTGCTGCCAACATTTTGAGACATTTCAGAAACTCGCTTATGAACGCTGTTAACAATTAGTTACCAACAGTCCCAGCCAGGACAGATACTACCTTTAGTCTTTTTAACTTTATATCTTCAGCCAGCTAAACACTGTTCTGTATGAGTTTGGTTGTTAGATTATTAACCTACCAAATACTCCTCAGTTCCATAAATAGACACAAACTTCTCATCATCGTCCAGCTCTCTCGCCGCTCCGAAGTCTGTCAGTTTGTAAACAGATTTGCCGTCCTCGCCGACTTTCCGCATGATGTTCCCTGGCTTAATGTCTCGATGCACCACTCCATTTTCTCGCAGGTGATTCATTCCCTGCACTATGAATAACACAATGACAGACGAATGCTTTAAAAAAATGAAATATAAAGGGTATACAATGTCACACTCACACACACTCACCTATACACTGCARCACAGTGAGGAACTCCGTTTCAGGCAAGCCAAAAGCATTTTCAGGCTCCTCGAGCAGGTTGAGCAGACTCCCTCCTGAGCAATACTCCATCACCAACACCTTCTGTTTAGTTGGCAGCTGGTGCAAATAAACCAGGCAGTCAGATTTAAAAACATTGTTMGTATGAATTAATACCCATTTTCTTCTCTCAGTTGCTGTACCTCCTCAACAGCAAACAGCCTGACGATATTGCTGTGGCTGAGCTTCCGGAGCATCTCAAACTCTCTCATTTGGACGTCATGCGGGCGGTTGTAGCTCAGCGTATTGAACACTTTGACGGCTACCACCTCGCCTGATTTCTGCACRAACACACGTTTCACAATCATCACAGAGGCACATCAGAAGCAACCCACATCACTGAAACCACAAGTGTTTTTTTTTATCTTTTCATGTTACTTTTGAGCTAAGAACAAGATCAAAGCTGGAGGTGGAAACAAAAAAATAAAAAACAAACACATACAAATGCTGACTAATTTGTTTGTACCCTTCCACAGTAATTGGCTCAAGAAGGTGTAACTTTGGATCTTCTAACGTGATTCAAAGTGTGTCGGATGATTCAGTCAGAACGTCACGTTCTTTGATCTTGGAGTTTCCCTTTAATGCTTTTTTTGGCTGTTTTTCTACCATCTGCATTAGTCTGACCCATCTGGGGTTACATTTTTACTTGCCCCTACTGTATGTCAGGAGAGGTTGGCTACCGTCTCATGAACTTTATATTTTATAAGAACATTGGCAACTATAGCCATAGCATGAAGCTGTTTGGTGATGCTCTTGTAGCTTTGACCTTTACCTTTATTCTTTTCGAGCTGCTTGGACRTTGCTGGCCTTTGCTTTCTCTGCTCTGTGTTCAGGGTTGCCAGATAAACACAAAATATGCTTTTATCACCTCATATTAAAACACCTTCACTCAGCTCATGTGGCAGTTTGAATCAAAACACAACAGTTTTAAAGGGACAGTACAACAGTTTACCATGCCCCGTCTGGAAACCCTGTCTTTGTTCAGTGTGGTTCACATAATACTAAACTATCCAGTGACGTGATTTTCCCAGTATTGAAACAGGCTGAGTGGCTAATAAAATGCTGGAATGCACCTGTGATACTATTTAAGGTCAAACACATCGTTTGAAACATGACTACAATGTAAAGTTAAATAGTCTCTTTCAGGGTACCAACAAATCTGTTTGGATGTCTTTGTAAAATAAACAACAGATAATTTATTATGTTTATTTCCTCTTAAATAGTGCCATATTTGTAATGAAATAACATGTGTGGGTTAAGTAAAAGTCAACACAATAAGCTGTGATTGGGAAGATTTGGCAAGTTTGGGCTCAGCCCACGGTTTAGGCAACTTGTGCCTATTTATGAAAATTTTCTTATGACTATTGTACTCATATTGCCTGTAGATTCAATTTAATTGTTAATGTTACAGTACGTATAKGTCCAAAAGAGGCTTCCAGCAGATTTTCTTTTAAATTAAATCTTCAGGGTCGATATTTTTTAGTGTTGGGCAAACCTTTCCTATAAGTGGTCCAAAATGTTGACAGGGCCTTTACAACTGTGGCACCATTTAGGAGGAAATAAACAGGCTTTACAACAGTAAAAGCTTTATTGTCAAGGATCATTGTAAGAACAATAAAATAATAATAACAATAATCAACCAAATACAACAGATAAGTAAATATTTATTAATTCATTGCTACCTTATTGCGTGCCTTGTAAACATTGGCAGTGGCTCCTTGACCCAGGACGTCTTGTAAAGACCACAAAAAGTTTGTTGTGCTGGCTGTCATCACCGACATGCTGCAAGGAAACTGTCAGTTGACGTTATATATATATAT